ATACTGATATGGAAGAAGTGATGAATGATTACAATACGGTAAGAACTTGAATGCTTAGCATGCAAGTATGGTTTTTAAAATGCAAGAGTATATGTTACAGACATGATATATTCACTGCTTTTGCACATACATAATTTTCTTGAAATAGTGTCTTATCTGTTAGTCATGTAAGTAAAACTATGTTGTTTGTGAGACTGGATCCTACACAAGTTATTTATTTCTTCAGCTACTTATAAAATAACTGGTATATATTTTTTACTTTTTACAACTTATCAAATAACAAATTTAGCATTGAAAGATGCATTCAATCCCCTAAAATAACAACAAGACATTTATCTTCCATCAGCAGTGCTCCCTTAACCCAAGTCAGTGCCCGCAGGAGTCTTGTGGGTTTCCTTCTTTTCTTTTCAAAAGAGCTGATATTTTTACTACATTTTATTTTCTTAGAAATACTACTAAGTTGGGGCCCAACTGATTCTTTTTCAAATTTAAGAGGACAAAACTTACAGTACTATTATAGTTCCTTACACAAACTTAGCGTTCTTCACTGATTCAGTGATTTTCAGCTATGCTGGAGATATAAAGATGTTACAAATGGCACAGAGATTAAAGCAGTACAGGCAGTCCTCAGACTTATAACACAATAAGTTCCTGAAGACCTGTTGCGTCTTAAGTAGAATCGTTGTAACTCAGAACCAATTTTCCCATAGGAACAATGTTATAAATGGGGGATTGGTTCCTTTACATTGCTGGATACGGCTGTGTGCAGCTGGTAAGTCTGTTGTGGCAAGGGAGGAGGGAGGCGAGGGGCAGATCAGCATCCCCCTGGTGAGGAAGGGAGGGAGGGGCAGGGGCTAGGGCAGAGGCTGGGGCAAGCACTGCCCATCTGGGGCCGGGGGCAGCGCGGGATGGATCTGTGGCTCATCCAAGGGGCGAAGGGAGAGGAGGGCGGCTCCTGCCACCACATGCTGCTAGTCTGGGAGCTGCTTGTCTGATGGCTCGTCTGGCTGCTTCTGTCACTTGTCGGGGAGAGCATGGGGGGGGCGTGTGCCTCTGGATCTGCGCAGGGCAGGTGGGGCTGCACAGGGGGGCAGCGGAGGCTATGGGGGCGCTACAGTGAATTTTCAGGTGGCTGCAGCCCCCCCATAGCCCCTGCTCCGCCACCTGCCCCACCCTGGTCTGGGGGAAGGCCCCCACCCATGCTCGCCCGCTGTTCACGCAGCCAGGAGCTGCAGCTAGTCTGGAGGGCGCAGGGAGGGGGTGGCGGCTCCCGCCACTGCACACTGCTCGTCTGGAGGCAGTGCAGCAGCTCCATCCTGCACCTGCCCCAGCTGGGCAAGCAGCAGCAGGGCATAGCCTCCAGTCCCAGCACCACCACCGCACACCCAGAGCACAGCCCAGTGCAGCCCTGGTCCCGCCTGCCCCGTGCAGATCCAGAGGCACCCCCCCCACCCCCATGCCCTCCTGGATGAGCAACGGGCGCAACGATGGGAACCACCGGATAAGCCTCCAGACAAGCAGCTCCCAGACCAGTGGTGCACAGTGGCAGGAGCTGTACCCTTCCCCCTCCACCCCCGTGCCCTCTGGACGAGCCGCAACTCTATCCCTTGCCCCATCTCCCTGCTCTGGCTGGGCAGCGTTTGCCTCATTCCCTGTCCTAGCCCCTGCCCCCCCCTCCCTCACCGCAGAGGCATTGATCTGCTCCCCCCCATGCCCCTTCCCTCTCCCCTCCCTTTCCAGCACAACAGACTTAGCAGCTGGACACAGCTGTATCGAGCATTATAAAGTCAAAACCCATGTCGGAACCTCAAAACAGGGTGCCAATTTATAAAGGTTGTAAGTGCCGTTCATCATAACTCAAAAAGTCGCAAATCAAGGACTGCCTGTATACTAATAGTGAGACAGAAACAGCCAGTAAGTACACCAATAATTTTCCCCTGTGGTCAAAAATCTTGCCCTTTTTTCTTCATCTAGGTTTTAAATTCCTCTTAAATTAACAGGATTAGAAGCTTAACTTTATTGTATATATTGACTCCAGGCAAACATTTGGATGGCCAAAGTACTTATATGGGCGACTGGTGCCACCTTAGTCACAGGGGCACATGCCCACCCCCACCCCCCCCAGCAACCAGTCAGCAACTGGGGGAGGGGTCCCCCCAAGGCCAATGTCGCTGACTGGGGGTTGGGCATCCACAGCCACTCCCACTCCCCAGCTGGTGCTGGGGAGCACCAGCACTCCCGCCTGCCTCCCCTGCCCATTTCCTGAGCGGCAAGGACAGCCAGTCAGGGGGTATACTGCTGCTCTCAGGGGGTACACCCCTACGCATTGCCACTGGTGCTTATGTTCATTAGGAAGTTGTTTTCAAGTAACAGTATATATGTTCACCTAATTATACTTGAAGAGAAAATGAATAATTTAAAACTATTTTACAGTGTTTGATTTATTTCTCCCCCTCAGTCAGCCACTGCAAGACACTATAAGCCAAATGTCACAGAAAAGTTGTGGATTTAGGTCCCAATCCTTCAAAAACCTATACATATGTTTACCTTCAATGCACAAGTAGCCTCAATGTCTTCAGCAGGCTTCTTGTACCTTTTAAGTCAATGTTTCCAGTCTTTAGAGTAGGCTGTGCAACTCGGGGGTCACAAGCAGTGTCAGTGTGCAGCCCCTGAGCCACACACTATGCAGGCAGTCTTTTGCAGGGTAGGCCCCCTCCTGAACCCACCCTCTGCACAAGTTGCACCAGTGACACACAGCCACTGTTGCAGATAGGCAGCATGTGGATCCCTATCCCCTTCCCTGCAGGCTGCACAGGTGGTGCACAGGCCCCCACCATGTGGCAGCAGGAGAGGCAGCCACTGGAGCCCTCAAAACAGATGTTAACTGCTCACAAACATGTGTTGGCCCCTTGTGGGCTAGGTATTAGGGGTGTGCGAAACAGGCCTTATTCGATTCGTATTTGGCCCGAGTCGGGGGACACTGATTCTATTAGTTGATTCAGATCACTTTCCCGATTCGACCGAATCCATATCTGAGAGAATCAGCAATTCAGCCATAGTCACAGCTTTAAATTTTTTTCTACGTACCTCGAGGTATGTACCAGGTGTGGCTCGTGAACGCTGAGATGGTGGAGCAGATGAAGTGTCCCACAAGAGCACGGGAGGTCCCCCGCATGCTCAGTGGCGGAACTCCCCCATGCCCCTCCAGCTCGGCGGTGCGCCCCACGAGACCCAGGAGTCACTAGTCGCCAGGGCAGGGAGGATCCTCTGCGCACTCTGTGGTAGACCTAGAAGTGGACAGAAAGTGCTTCTGATACACTTCTGGGTCCGCTGCCGAGCGCGCTGCCCCACCCCCCCGTGCTCCTGTGGGACGCTCCATCCACCCCAACATCTTAGCATTCACAAGCCTCCTTATACCTTGAGATTTGTAGAAAGAACATTTAAAGCGGTGTCTAAGTCTGAATCATCAAATCTCTCTGAATTGATTCAGAGGGTTCCGATTCGATTCAGAGGGATTAAAGGGCCTCCTGATTCAATTCGGAGATTCGACTGCCAAATCCAGCCAAATCTCTACCAAATCAAATCAGCAACCGAAGCTTCGCACAGGCCTGCTAGGTATGGCTTACAGCCATCACTTAGACAGACCTGCTTTAGAGTATTAAAGCTTTAGTTACAGAACAACGGAGCAACTCTCTAATATCTTACATTTAAGAACCTGCTTTATAACAGTTTTCAAGAGACAAGATTAATAATATTTAGAAAGTTCAATAAATTAAACACTTTTGTTTTGGAGGGAAAAAAGAAACAAAACTTGTATTTTTTAAGTCAACTGAATTAATGTTTTGGTTTTTTTTTACTTAGGTTCCCCAAGATAGTAGATGTCTAAAAATAGCATACCAGATCTTGAATAAACCCTAAAAAACCCTGTATCAGATGTTAACTTACACACATTGATTTTGAAAAGCTGTTGTGATTGGCATCCTGAAGGAACATTTTACATAAAGAACAGGAATTATTTAATGCCTGATTAAACTTTTTGATCAAACTGTTTTGACCTTAATTCAGTGTATCATGTTTGGTCATTAGTACAGATTTCCTTCACCAATCATGTGGGTTAGGTTCCTGAAAGTTCCCATGGTTGGCAAAACCAGCAGGGCTGGGGGAGCAGGGGCATGAGCAAAGCTGTGGAGGCTGTCAGGGAGAGGAGGCGAGAGGAGTGAGAGGCACAAGGAGGGCCAGGGGAGCCGTGGGGGTATTTTCCGACTGTACCCCCCACTTCTCTGAAGCGGGGATACTCAAAACCGGGGTTGGCAAAACTGTGGTTGGCGAGGGAAACCTGTATAGGTTCTTTAACAGTTAGCCTCAGAGCTCAATGGCATTGTTTATGTGTTTTAGATAAGAGGCATATGCTTCCCAACTTAAAGTTACCACTATTTGCATGTAACGCACAATATTTTTGTGGAAGGTACAGAAAGGTAGCCGTTTGCAATGCTAAACACTAGTCTACCTGTATAAAATATCTGAGTCTTACTGAGTTTATTTCATTCTGTGACATCTTCTGCCCTACAGATGAGTTCAGTGCAAGTACGTGTTAATGGGTCTGTGGCATAGCCAACAGCAAACATGATATGTTCTTTCAGTTGAATTTTTCTCGTTTTTCTGAGTCTGCATGAATGTGACACTATAAACCAAGCATGCTCTGCTGTTTCTACTCACTCTTTCATAGGCAGACTTCACAGCCCAGCCCAGGGATGCTCTATTACAGATTTGAACCAGTTTCTGATCATTTATACCAGTTTATGTGTAATTTCTGTCCCTGCCTCTTTCCATCTCTGCTCTGAGCTTTGGACCTTCTCATTCATTAGAATACATTTCTTACCTGGGATGCATATATAGTACTAATGTCTGTTACTATTTTCTTTTAACAGTTAAAAACTCAAAATGACCAGGAATCTCAGAGCATGGATATCATTTTTACAGAGAGACAAGCGTAAGTGTATAAACATCTAAAAACAATCACATTTTATTATCAGTTAGCTTCATAAACTGGGAAAACTAAGAAGTGAATTATTCCTTGTGTTCCAAAGACACCAAAATGTACATATAACAGCTAACTGGTTTATAAATACAGCACGAGCTTTGGTCATGCATTTGGTTTTCACAGCTCATGCTAAGTCTCTTTTTAGATGTATGAATCTAGTGTGTCTGAAGATAGGCTAGGGCAGAGGTGTTAAAGATATGGCCTGCAGTACTGTCTGTGGGGCTCAGCCTGGACCAGCATGCCACATGCAGTGTGCCAAACCAACCCTATGTGCTGTACATGGCAAATGGAACTGGTCTGATACATGCTGAATGTGGGGCCAAAACCGGAACACATTGCATGTGGTGCATAGAGCTGGTCCAGGGCGCCTACTACATGCAGTGCCACGCCAGACCAGCCCCGTGCATGGGATGCAGTGTGCAGAATTGGTCTGCAGACTTGTTCTGGCCCACAGCCTCATGCCAGCATCCAGCACATGAGTTTGCCACTCCTGGGCTAGGGCAAAGAGTATTTGAAGTCTTATTTTTTTTACATACTTCAAAGATTTTTGTGACCCTAAAAGTTTCTATCAAAACTGGTTAAAATGCAGAACATTCTGATATGTTCTGTATTTTAATTTACAATCACTTTTGAGAAATAAGAATACTTTTTTAGAATTCCCCATTAATGAATTCTTAGATAAAATGTTTTTTTAAACTCCAACTCAATTTTAAGAATATTTGAAAATGTTGAAAATATTCATTAAGCTGTAGATTTACAAATGTGATTTTTCTTTTTTTAAGCTGTTTAAAGCTATGTCAGTTTTATGCTATTGCAAGAGTTTTCACATTTTAATAATATTTTAAGGGAAAAAGGCTCCACTTAGTACTGGGATAAGATCCAGCATTTGGTATCTGCTAAGGGTCATTTATCACTGAATTATATATAGATGCATTTAAACAATTTGGGAGGGGATGATGTCTTCATGTTTTCTACTCAAATAAAAACAATGAAATTTAGTTTAGGAATACTAGGTAGTCTAATCAATGTTTTAGTCTCAGCTAATGGATAAAATAATGAATTGGTACTCAGATCTGAGTTGTCCCAGATCTGCCACTGACTTGGAAACCTTGGGTAAGTTACCACTCTCTGAGTTGCCTCAATTTCTCCATCTGTAAAACAGTGCCAATGATATATTTGTTATAAGTTCTCCAAGACCTACTGATGAAAGGCAGAGGATAAAATTTAGCTGTTAGTATTTTTCCATAATAATCAAATACTCAGAATCAAGCATCAGACATATAACACATATCTGCCAGTGTGGTAATGCATTCACATCACCAGATTTTTTTTTAGCTCTAAGATTTATATAAAACATGTGCCTCCACATTTGATGAAATGAGAGAGAGTGAGAGCTGTTGGTTCAGTCTGTAATACACACAAGAAATTTTCATGTACAAGATTTTAAATGGATTGATCCTACATAATCTGCTTTTGAAAGTCCAATTATCATCCACCATATAAGACATTAGTTCTCTTCAACTAATTCATTGGTATCTATATATTTGTCCTCAATAAATCCATCCTCTTCAGGCACAAATGTATGAATTTGTTTAAATATTACTGTAGAATCCTCCTGGTTGTAATCATTTGATATGGGTGGAAAATGGCTTATGTCAGCTGCAAACTCCTCTTCAAACATGTCTGGTTCATCCTCTTCCAGACGACGATGGTTGTAGCTGATCAAATAACGGTACCATGTTGGGCATTTTACAGCAGTAAAAATTAGTACCGTAGTGGTTAGGACGAATATAAGGACACCCACCAGAAAGGCCCAGCTTTTGCCAAGAGGTGGTGAATCTTTAAGAATTCAAAAGAAAATCAGATTTAATTAAGCCCTGAAGAAGAATGTACTGCATTTGAAAGCTTGTCTAAGTATATCCCAACCTTGTAGTTGGTCCAATAAAATATGTCAGCCCTTCTCCCTCATATATTTCCTGGACCATTACAGCTACAACATCACTCCATCACTACCAAATTAAATTAATAACAAGCCAAAACAATTAATCTGTAATGCACAACAGAACTGTGATGTGATTTTTTCCATAATCAAAGGTGGAACTAATAGGGGAAAAATTGACAGTGACATTTTTTAAGTCTCTTTGTCAAGCCTTAATAGAATACTAGCATTATGCAATCCAAACTTGTGAACTAGGTCCCAAATGTTTATGTAAAGGTGTTCTGTATATCCAACTGTAAATAAGTAACTTCTTTTCAGGACAGAAGGTCAACAATATTATGAGCACATTTAACAAAATAATCATTTTTTAAATAATTTTTAAAAAGATCATCCCTTGTATAGGACAACAGGATATATACTTGTCTTTATTGTCCATTTTTCCAGCTTGAAGCTTTCATGGTTACACTCTAGAATATTTGCATCCTGATAATCACATTTGGTTTGGTTTTGGTTTGCACATCCCCCTAGATCAATTCTCAACCATGGTGCTCTGACAGTGTGGGGTGTCTTACGATCCTTTCAAGGGTGCTGTGGGTTGCCACCCAATGTTACATGAATGGCGTGTGCCCCTGGCAGCTGGTGGGCCACGGCAGCGGCGGGAGTGCAGCGGTGGTATGTGTGGAGCTCCCGCAGATGCCGCCGGCACTGTCAGCAGCAGGGAGAGGGGTGGTGAGCAGCGAGCACCCACAGATTCCACCAGCAGTGACAGTGGTGGCCAGTGGCGATGGCTGACTTCCTGCAGACACCACTGGCAATGGGGGGTGGCAAACAACAACTGCCTACAGGCACCACTGACAGTGGCTGCGGCACCTTTTTTTGAGGGGGTGCACCACCATGCTCAGGGAGTACATGTGCACCCCCTCCACATTGCCAATGGCCCTCTGCCCCCACAGGGCAGGGGCTCCCCTCACAGCACATGGACTACCCTGCCTGCAGGGTCCCAGGTCCCCACAGGGGTGACAGCTCCCCCTGCCCACTGGTCTCCAGCTCCCTGCTCATTTCCCTGCTCTTCTCCAGCCTCTGGAGGCTGGAGATCAGCAGGAGAACCAGCAGGAGGCTGAAAAGAATAGAAGAATGAACAGGAGGCTCATTCCCCTTGCCCCCCTTTGATTCCCCCTGCTCCCCACTCATTCCCCTGGCGCCACCAACAGTGTTGGTGGCACCTTTTTGTAGGGAGTGCACTGTCAAATTCAGGGTACACATGCACCCCCTATGCATCGTCCATGCAGTGTTAGCACTTAGGAGTACACGTTTCATGTAAGAAATCCAGAGGGAGTGTCTAGATGAGCACATTCGTGTATTTTCCTAGAGACAACTAGCAGAGGCTAATCCTTGGGGAACATCCCTGCACACATGCTTTGGCACTGGGCAAAGTGCCCTGGGTGGGATAAGGGAGGCTGGGGCCAGCACCTGGGCTGGCCCCAGCAGCCTTACCTGGATCCTGGTGGGATCCTGGGGGCCTCCTGGGGCTACAGTAGTGGCGATCTGAGTGTGTGGAGCCTGGCTGGCAGCTAGAGCATGGCTTCGGCTGGCCAGGCTCTGGTTTTGGGCAGTGCTATCTAAATTTGGCTCTGCCTTGCAAATACGCAGTACGGAGAACCAAATTACATGCACAGGGTGCATTTTGCAGCACCTCAAAAGCCTTTGAGGTGTCACAAAGCACACATGCATGCTCGTGTGGACCCTCCCAGAGAGTTCAAATATCAATATGTAGGGTTAAAACATTCTGATCTGTTATGCAACAGAAGAATTCCTTTGCTTTCTTCTGTAGTCAAAAAATGAGTGAAAACTAAGACCTAGCACTTCCTACGCCGTGCCTTGAGTCTAAAAAAGATTGAGAACCACTGCTCTACATATGTTTCTTTTATAATTAAAATCACAGTAAACCAGCCTCTACTTGCAATCTGCCTGCAAGTTCATAATCTGGCTAGTGTTCTTGATGTGTTGTAGGCAAAGGGATTTCATGACAGCTGTCTCCAGACTGATCTATGCCTTCCTTGTGCTTCAGTCACACATTAATTGTATTGCTGTTTGCATGCACAGCAGAGATGGTCTCAGACGGCTCCTGCAGATGTGTGGGGAGCCTGCAGTGACATACTGGAAATCCAGCTCATTGGAGCAGACTCGATTAAGTGAGTCTGCTGGAGCACAGAAATTGATGCAGTCCAGCAGCCTTTTGCATCACATGTATCAGTGTCCCTGCACTGAAAAAATGGCAGTTGGGCACCTTGAAATGAAACATGTTCAATGAGCTTAAGTGCAGGGACACATGGGAACGCTGATACGTGTGACGTGTGGGTACTTTTAATTAGTGCAGCTCGCTAATTAAAGCACCTGGCGCCGCATCCCAAAACACACGTAAAAATGCCCAGAATTGGGAGAAGGAGCAGCTGCTCTCAGTGGAGTAAGGCAAGAGAACAGACTGATTGAATGAAATCAGTTATGGGTAAAAATTAAGATGAATAGTATGGGGGGTGGGAAATTACATGATGGAACAACAAGGCTAGAGAAAATGAGGGAAGTCCCCTTTGAAATTTCTGGTAGAGTAGAATGAGAACATTTTCATGTCCTTGCATTAGGCCAGGAGTAACGAAAGAAATTAAATAACAGGCCTTCTTACATCTCATAAAGACAGTTAACTTTAAGAACAAGCTTGTTTTGCAGATAGAGGATTGATTATGAACAGACTCACTGGTTCAATTCAGCATGTACTCTTGGATTGTTGGCTCAACTCCAGACCTTTTGAAATCTCAGATCATTCATTTCTAGGTGATTTTTTTTACAGTATCACAAAAATGAGATATAATGGGATTTTTATCTGTTTTGAGTTTCTGGTAATATTATTTATGATCTGAAATTCACCAGAATGCATGCAATCTTCCTGGGTGTCTGGCAGTCCCCAGATCTTTTGTTGGAGAAATGTCCTATACCAGTGTTTTGGGTGGTACTGTAATTAAGTGTTAAACATCAATTGATTACCTGAATGTGTTGCATTGTTTGTAACCTTGCTTGTAGAGTTCAGAGATGATGTCAGAATGACCATGCTTTTGGGATTAGTGGAAGAAGTGGAAAGAGTAGTGGTTGCTGTTAATTGACAGCCAGCTGTCTGGATAGGTGCTGTCTTGATAGATGATTTTTTCCAGGCTTCTGGGTATGCACACAGAGTTTCGTTTTCATTTTCTGTGGGTATGAAAAGGTGATGAGAAGTAATTTGCATAGTGTCAGCTGTGGTGTAGTCAAGACTTTTTTTAGGGACAAGTCATATTTACTGTAACTTTATTTATAGTATTAAATAATGTTCTAACACAAGGGTAAGTTGTATAAGATTCAGTCTAGGTAAAACCAAGAAAAAACTTTTACTGGAGAGAAGCAACAACTAGGAGCCCTCTACAATGGAAGTAATAAAATGGTGTCAGAGCCACTGTCATTAGAACTCACCCACTGTCACATTTGAGACATTCAACCATTTCTGTAAAATGAGCATGCGACAGGAACAGTTCCATGGATTTCCAGCTAAGGCAATTGTGGTCATTTTAAATGAGGCTTTTATGTCAAAATATTTCAACAAGTTGTCGTGCAGATTTAAAACTGTCAGACTCCTTAGAGGTGTAAATACATCCGAATCTAATTCTAATATTTTGTTATGTTGCAGATTGAGCTTGGATAATTGATTGAGGCCTATAAATGCACCTGGTAGAATTGTGCTGATATTATTATGACTGATGTCTAGAATTCTGAGATTTAGCAGATTGCAGAAAACGTTGTTAAATAGAACAGTAATGACATTGTCATTTAGGTAGAGTTCTGTCAAGTTACTGTATATTTGAAGAGCCTTTTGGGTTTGATTATTTAGAGTGATTCTATTATTCATAAGATTTAAATGAGTGACATTTTGACTGATGTTTGAAGGGATAGAAGAGTAATTCCTTGCAGATTCCGTACAAGTGACCTGTTAATGGAAGAGAGAAGAACAATATGACCATTAAAAGTTACTAGTTGTGGGGGGATTTATTTCCTAGAATTTTATTTAACAAATTCCTTTCTATCATAGTGAGCCAAAGCAATGGTTGTACCCCTGCTTGCTTTCTTTGGCTCATTGTAGTTTTTTGAGTCTCTGGGTTTTTGCTTTTTGTTTTTACTAAAGAACCTACATTTTTTACGGAATGCTATACTAAATTGCTCTCTGTGATCAAAGGGAACTAGATTTGATGTCCCACATGTTTCTGTCTATTCCTACAAAATATTTTCTACTATGGAAAGTTGGTGTAAAAAAAAAAACCCTTGTTGTAATTGGTATGCCAGCCCTGTAAGTTCCAGAAAGAAAGCCCTCTTGGACCCTCCAGATCATGATTTTCTTAAATAATGGAACAAAGGATGTAATAACTGAATTAATTTGGGCATTGGCCAGGGGAGTTACAGGACCTTGGGCAGTTAGGAGCTTAACTTGGAGTTTGGGAAAAGTCTGGTGGGAAAAGGGACTAAAGGCAGAAAAGTGCTTTTATTTTTTGTTTCAAATGCCATGTTTACTTTTAAGAGATTTTCAAACAGACCTTCAAAGGCATAGCTTGTTAAAAAATAGTGTTACAACCAAGGGACATCAAATCTTTTTCTGGGTTGAAACCAACATGCATATTTGAAATCCTATGTTTATGATTGAATACTCCATACAATTAGTTCCCAGACGCACTTTTTCTTTTTAAGAGTGGTGGGTTCCCTTTTCTTTGCATATGTGTGTACTTCAGTCTGCAATATGATGTAGAGATGCCAGAGCTAGCTCAAGTGTCAGAAGCTGTCTGATCATGGCAGAATGTCACAGCATGGTCTAGCTTACTTTGCTTATGACAAAATCAGCCTGCTCTGAGGCCTGTGCTGCCATGACTACTTTGCTTCTGCTACTAACTGCAGGCTGCAGGGTGGATATACTTTTTTGTGTATCTTTTGGAAAGTGAGTGAGGTAAAAATCAAACTGTTTTCTTACTATGTTAAAAAAAAAAAAGTGGCCTTGATGAGCTGAACTGTGTCATCTCCCTTTGGCTTGAGTGATGGTTGATGTTGCAGTTTTGAGGGCTTGTTTCAATGCTAACTGAAGAGGCAAAAGATTTCCATTTACATCAGTTGACACAAATATATGTAACATGTGCAGCACAGTAAATTCCAACGTGATGCCTCTCCCAAAGATTTCCATTGATTAATTGTGCAATTTATGGAAAGCCACATCTTTTATTCCACATTTTGATTTTCCCATGTTGGTTATATATTAGTTGGTTGAAGATCAGTGTGTTATTGAAATAGTTTATTTCTTTGTTGTACCAAAAATCTCCTCTAATTTCTATGGACATTTCTTCAAGAAAGTTAGCAAAAATTAAAGCTTATATATTTTTAAAACTTACTGTTTGAGAAGTAGTAATGCAAACAGTTGTGGCTTGATTTGAAAAAACTGCTCCAGTCCAGATCAGGAGCCAAAAAAGTTTCATGTTCAAAACCTAGCAAGGAAAAATAGTTTTGTATGATAAGGTCAAAATTTAAAGCTGGTACGTTAGTGGCTTAAAGAGATCCTACTGCTGAAGTTTATTTTGTATAAAAAGTCTTGAATTATAATAAAATAATTTATTTTAGCTATAACTTAAATATTGACAAAATCTAAAAATGCACTAAGATGAGAAAAAGATAGTATTAGGTGAGAAGCTTGTATTGAACTACAGCTTGTATTGAACTGAGCCAAACCTAAATCCCAGCAGTCAGTTTTTATGAACTGGTTCAGTGTAAGCAGTGATCAGCTTAGGGTAAGGAGGTGTTTATTACCTGTATAGCATCCCACCCATACTCTTAAGTCATACCTTCCACTGTTCAGCTACTTGAGGAATCTAGCCTTTGGAACTAGGTAATCATGGTTTCTCATTTTGTTTGGAAAATTTTGAACTTACGTACACATAATCTTTTGGGAACCAGGAGGCTTTTCAGATAAGTTAATCTTAAAATGAAGACAGTCTTCAGGAACTTGCAGTTAACACATGATCCTACTGGTCTCGTACACTATTTTATTGGAAAGATTTTTAAATAAAGCAAAAGTAAATATAAAAACATGGAAACACTATGACAGGATACATACATCTCTTTGGATCCTTAGGAGAGGAAAAAATACTTAAGAATGAGGAAAAGTCACCAGATATGGAGAAATAGGATTAGAGTGTTTAACCTGAACCTGGAAAAGTATTTTGTGACTCCTTGAAAAGGTAGCATACACAATGCAGATGGTGATTAGAGGAGGAACTAGGAGTGATCTTACTTAGTAATTATATATATGACCAAAATTGATTCTTCAGAGGAAAATCATGTCTCACTAAACTATTGGATATTTTTCAATCTGTCAGCAACCGTAGTGGCTATGGAATCAGTTGACTTCATTCAGACTTTCAGATAGCATTGCAGTAGGGTTCCTCATAAGAGGCTTCTAAAACCACCCTAAAATGTAAGTAGAAATGGAATGAGACTTTCAGTTTTGTCTTGGTTCAAAAACTAGTTAGGACACACAATCAAAGAACATGATTAACTGGTCAGTTTCCCTCATGGCCAAAAGTTAACAGTGGAGTGCTTCAAGATTCCATGCTGAGTCCCAATTTAGATGTACCTATAAATTATCTGGAAAGGTGATGAGCAGAGAGATAGCAAAATCTTTACATAGTCCAATGTTTAAATTACTCAGCTTAGTCAAGACTAGAGAGGATTGTGAGTTCCTTCATAGTCTTAACCAAACTAGTGAGTAACCAGGTTTTAATGTTGATCCATACTAAGCGATGCACATAGGGAAACATTTTTATAAAGTTTTTATGTTTATAAAGCTTACAGGTTCCAAATGAAATGTATCATCCCTGATTAAAGATAGACTGTGGTCAAAAAAAACAACAGGATATTAGGGTGCATAAGGAATGACTTGGTGAATGGACAGTATTATATATAGTTCCTTTATATAAATCAACAGTGTGGCCTCATCAGGAGTAATGTGTTCAGTACAGAGATGGTTCAGAGAAGTGCTACTGGAATGCTTAGGGGTAGTGAAAAGCTCTTATAAACAAGAGCTTGAAAAAACTGGAATTGCCTGTCTTAAAAAGGGATGAATGAGGTATGATGATAAAAAAAATACCATGTGGTAAAGAAGAAGAGCTTTTCTTCTCTCTGTCTTATAACATTAGAAGAAGGGGCGGTTAAATTCAAAACTGCTAGAAGGAAATACGGCCCTTCCCTCCCCCCATCCCCCCCCCCCCCCCCCCCCCCAAAAAAAAACAAAACAGTGGTTTAATTGTTGAACTTGTTCCCAAAGGAAGTTGTTGAAGCCAATCATTTAGTAAGCTTCAAAAAAGAAATTGAGATTTTTAAAGAAAAACATAACTATAATACCAGAATTATAATTGTTATTGTTAATGAAAATTCTGAAAAGAATATTAAATCTTTTTTTTCAGAGTTTAAGACAATATCTTCTTATTTAAATTAAGATGACACCTTATGTTTGGGATGGATTATCCCACAATTTGCTGTCTGTTGATTTTATACTACCTATAAGCATCTTGTGCTGGCCGCTCTGAGATTAGCTCCTGGACAAGTAGACTTTGAGTATGATGGGACTTCTTATATTTTAGAACGGAAAGTTACCCAGAAAGGCACAGCATAACATACTAATTGTAATATTAGCAAGTAGATAAGGGAGAAATAGAAGTGCTGCATAGAGAAATACAACCAAACACAGGGGCAAGAAAAAGACTTTCAGGTATCTGGATTGAATCTCGAATATGACAAGATCGAACAGTCACAAACTGCTCCGTGACCGTTTCAGGCTGGACATAAGAAAGAACTTCTTTACAGTCCGAGCCCCCAAGGTCTGGGATAGCCTGCCATTGAAGGTGGTTCAAGCACCTACTCTGAACGCCTTCAAGAGAAATTTGGAGGTTTATCTTGCTGGGATCCTATGACCCCAGCTGACTTTCTGCCCTTCGGGCGAGGGGCTGGACTTGATGATCTTCCGAGGTCCCTTCCAGCCCTACTGTCTATGAATCTATGAAACTATGAATATAGGGCAAAGAGGCTTCACCAGTCAGGCAGTTTGATAGCAAAGTGAGCCATTGGCAAACCTGATTGGCTGGGCTAACTAATTTATAGGTTTTGTTCTCAAACAGGACTTAAATATCTCTGATACAAGATATAATCTTACTTAGCTGGTTGCTCCCTCAGACTGTTCCCATTGGAAAGATGAAGAAAGCCAGCGGTCAGGATTTGCATATACTGATCCATGTACATTACATATCTTTGCTGTTTTTCAAAAATCTGTCTACCTGCTTGAAAAACACATTCTCAAAAGATTGTGCAGTTACTACTGCAGCCAACTACAACATATCTGAAGTTAACAGGCAGCTCTTAATTAGGGCTAAGTACAGACATCCGGGGTCATTAGGGGAAGATTAAATTGATTCAAAGTGGCTGCCTGATATCTGGTAAGTCAGGATGGAGGGGGCTAACCAAGGGGTTGGGCATCCAGCAGGCTGGAGGGGATTGAGGGGCTGCCCTAGGATGTGGGGGCAGGCGT